ACTATTGATGCCTATTTATATTTGGTTGACTTTTTAAAGGTGAGGGAGGTAAAAACGATAAAATCAGAGAGAATACCCAATGTGGATTTTACAGTATGTAAAATAAGTCAAATGTAGAAGGAATGAGAAAAATAGAAAACCATTAGAACATCACGGTAATAAATTTTACTGGCAAGATGGACGCTATAGTCAGTAGAAGAAAGTTCGAGGAGAAACAGGATACTCACATAGTTGCAAAGTATCTCCCCCAAGATATTAATTAATTGATAATATATAAATTATTACAATTAGTGATAATTAATTACATTAATTAATATAGGGGAAAGTAGTAGCTTCACAGTAGGGAAAGCTGGCAGCACCACCTTAATCAGGTGATCAGAGCTAACATCAACATTAATGAGAAATACCAACATCACGACGTACCCCCGATATGATGCGCTGAGAAGGGCCTGACATCATTCTGTGGAATTCTCACCCAAAAGCATAACTCAGTCTAATCCTGAGAAGACATCAGGTCAGTCCAAATTGAGGGACCTCCTACGAGACGACCAACTGGTGCTGCAGAAGAGCCCAGGTCACAGAGGACAAGCGCAGACTGGACACGCGGAGGAGGCGTGGGGGCAGGACCACACTCACTGTGGGGCGCCGGACTCAATTCTACAGCAGAATTCCAATTCTAGTGGAAAAACTAGTGAAAGCAGAATAAGTCTATGGTTTAGTTAATAGTATCGTACCAGTGTTAATGTTTCAGTTTTGATAACGGAACTATGTTATGCAAGATGTTAACATTAGGGGAAGATGGGAGAAGGGTACACGGGAATGCTCTGTACTACTTTTGCAAGTTTTCTATAAGTCTAAAATTATATCAAAATAAAAAGTTAAGAAAAAGTTATCATCTTCATCCACATGAAAATGACTCTAACAATACTCCAAGTTCCTTGAATTTTTGTGGACACATTAAGGATTAATGATGAGGGAGAACTGAGCAGGTTAAAAATGGACACAGCAACTGGCCAAACATTTAGCCAAATGACACGATCAAAGGAAATGTGCCAGACGTTTTCCAACAGCTCCACATATGGAGGCACCTACAACTCAGCAGGGACCCTACTGTAAAGAGAAACCAGAGACACCAACTCTTGTTCAACCAGAACATAAAGAATGATCTATCAATACCTTATTCTCTCGTAAGACTCCTATTTCCATTACTATTTCTGAATCCTCTGTGAAAAGTATGATACTACGCCCCAGAATTTGGTATAGCTGTGGTTACATCCATAACTCACACAGACCTATATCAACGCTTAATTGAACAAGAGTTGGCACCTTGAAATAAGTGCCTTTTTAATTAATTAATTTCAATCCAGGAGATACCAATAAATGTCACTAAAAGTTGCTAAATTTCATCTTTTCCACAAAATAAAATATTTATTTTCAATCATCAATTCCATTTTAATCAAATCAATCCCATTATAATGAAGAGTTATGATATTAGGAAACAGTACCCCCTTTATAGAAGTTTGACGTAGAATTAGCATTCCCAGGATAACCTTGGTTAGCTTCTATATTTGTTTTAGAGGAAGAGTTGATTCTTTTCCTCTTCTATTTTTGTCCTTTCTCAGGAAGTTTATGGTATAATGAGATAAACATCAGAAACACTCATGGCTATTTTATACTATATCTTCACCAAAAAATGTTGTATATCTTACTTGTATACCACTTACAAAATCTTTGAAAAACAAGATATCCAGTTTTATCTTCAGCTACCTTTCATTTTGTAGGTGAACTATTCTGTATGTTATGTCACCATTTTCACTCTGGATTCTCAATAAGGTCTAGAAGCTTAGCCTCTCTAAAAATCACATGAGTCTAAAGACAATTCCAGCCATTTGTTTCAACAGAACTGAGAATTTATAACCCTTCACAATAGAATGTAAACATAGAATGTTTGTGAAATAAGGAATTACTTTCCCTCTTCCCAACAAATACTTGGTACTCTTGACTCTCTTTCCTGCATGAATAAGTTTTGGGGATAGGTACCAAAAACGTTTTACTCTCCTTTTTACATCAACAACAGCTGTGATGGAAAGCAACAACAGTAATAATACAGCTAACAATTGTTAGATGCTTCCTCTGCGCCGAACACTATCCTAAGCAGCTGACGCAAACTGCCCAAGGCCGCGTGGCAGTCGACGGTGTAGGCGATGTGCGAAGTCTAGAGTCCGACCCCAGGCCTGAGTAACTGGCAAGCACACTTTATACTGGCTACTTACTTTAATAAAATAAAATGGGCAGGCCCCAGAAGAAACTGCAATGGACAGCCAGCTCCAGTGTTGAAGAGGAACAGAGAGCAGCCATTACTCACTCCGGCCAGTTCTGGCAGGCAGCAGCCAAGGCCTGAGTTGATGGAGCTTTTGATGTTTTTTTTTAATGGGAAGCTGGAAGTCCAGATTTATATCTGAAGCCTCCTGATTTGGAAATGTTGCCACTTATTTCCAGCTTTTTCTAAAAATCCCATTGGTCTGAAAAGGAAGGGGCTCTATTCTCAAGGCGGGGATGCTGTCTCATTCATCTTGTTCCCATTTGTGTCCCTGATGCCTAGTGTGTTGCTGGCACATAGTAGGTGAAACAGGGTGACTTCTGCTGTTAACAATCCTGCCATTTTATCTTGGCCAGTTTGTAAGCTTGGTAGGAATTCATTAATTTATTCAACAAATATTCACTGAGCTGCTACAATGTGCCAGGCACTGCTCCAGGCCCTTGGGATATAAGAGCGAAGAGAAGAGTGAAGATTTCTCACTGTTCACTCTACTCTTCACTCTTGCGAGAGAAAGAGAGAGAGAGAGTTTATATTTTAGTGGGAGAAACAGGCCAAAAAAAAATCAAAAGCACATAAAATCAGATGGAGTAGAGGTTTGGAAAATAAGGAGATGATTTGCTTTGAACTGAACCTGTGCTACCCAGAGCTAAAGAATGATGATCCTTAGAAAGTCAGATACAATAGTCCATGCTCCCTAGTGCCATACTGGTCACTACTCCACAAATATGTTACACATATGCGAGCAATTGAAAGGAAAGGGTATTCTTGAAAGAGAGAGTGCTTTCCACATAAGTAGAACAATATGATCTTGCTCCTCGGCTTGAAAGAAAGTATTGATCAGTAGTTAGTGAGTCAAAGGTTAATAACTCAGGCCTGATTATTTCTGTTATCAGACTCATGATTGATAGTGTCCTCTGGCCCCTTGTAAATACAGGACAGGAATCTTTTTGATTGCTGTTACTGGGAACCAAGGAATTAAGCTATTCTCTCCCGAGTTAGTTGCAGTGGGTGGGGGTATATCTCCTGCATCAGAGGGTGAGCAGCACAAAGGTTCCTATAGAGAGCGTGCAGGGCAGTGACCAAAAATGCAGACTTGGAGCAACATAAATCTCATTGGCAACCGTATGGTAAAACACTAGCTCTGACACACAACTGTTTCGCTCTCTTGTATCATCATTCCACAAGACCACATGCTGAGTTAATGGAACTTCTCCAATTTGCTTTGGAAACGGATGTAGTTTCGGATAGCCCAAATGGCACAATCTGGCTGTTGCTCCTAGACAGCTGCTGGGAGTTACAGACAGGATAGCTAAACCAGGACCATCTAAAACAGCACAAACCTGGCCCCTGCTTCTCATCAAATCACTCATATCTATTTAGTTTCTCATAATCTGAGTAATTATAGTCAATGATTATGCTCAGAAAACACCCTAAAGACAAATGCAAGTCTGTATCTTCAAGTAGCCTTTAAAATACAACATGCCCAGCTCCTAAAGCTGGTATAATTTTATTTTCTCATTGTCTTTATATAAAAATTAGATTTCTCTCAACTTGCTCTTTTTGGAAGAAACAATATTTTCTTTGTTAGCCAAGCCCAACAGAGATCTCATGGCAATGCAGTTTGTTCTTCTCGGGGATACTAGCCAAAAGGATATTCCTTGAACTGAAGTCACAATTTGTTGAAAGCCTTGCAAGTTGATTAAATTAGGAAACAAGTAATCATTATCACATAACTAAAGGTAAAAGTATGAGAAAAAATAAACATGTCAAAAAGCACACCATTTAAACTCCCCACTTGAAAGACAACCATTCCTCAGTGGAGCCATAGCAGATAAAGAGCCACATTTAAACATAAAACTTCCCTCAATGTGTCAGAAATCACACATCTTACTCATTAGTGTCATTTTGTCTACCTACGGAAACGTCCTGAGAGTCTAACAGTTTTGGTTTAGGTAATGGAAGTCTCACTGGCTTGATCTTGCATCAACTAGACAAACACTGATAGAGTAATTGAACACAGATCTCTGATTTATTAAATCTAAAGTGTACATAGTGAGATGGTTATAGACCTCTTTTGACCCAAAGGAAATAAATTATAATTGCATTTACAGCATAGAGTCAACATTAGCAATAATAAAATAATGATACCAATGTATTTATACAACTGAAAGGTTTTTAAAATCTAGCAATAGAATTGTTTTTAAAAGTCTACTGAGATTTCTTGTCGGAGAATCTCTCCATCCACGTTTTAGCTCAGGTGGCATGCAATTATTAAAGCAGCTCTCGATAGTACTGGAGGATTTAGGATAATCTATTTTAACTTTTTTCATTTTCTGCTTGTGTTTCATTTTAAATGATTTTTAAAAAAATTCTTCAACATTCAATAGGTGAATTGGGCAGAAATGAGGCACATGCCTCTTATGGCCGAGCAGTATCAAGAACACGACTCCGCTGCTAACCTCTGCTAGCCAACGACTTGAGCCTGTGCGGGCCAAGACTTCGTGCACTCCCACTGCCGCTCAAGCACGATACAAAGGACAGCAGGCTCACTCATCCAGTCCACCCAAACTTGGAACAACAATCAAGAGATGGTGGTCGCACGCTCCGGCGGAAACCCCAGCTGCAAGATGAAACCCCCAAGCCCAGGAGCCCTCTGCTCCCTCCGGCGCGGCTCGGGTACCTGCTGCCCGGGTGGCCGGCGGCCCGGGGCGCGCGGCGCGGCTCGGCGCTGGGCGGCTGGGAGCGCGCGTACGAGTGGTAGGCGGTCAGCACCACGCCGCCCGAGTCCTCCACCTCCATCGTCAGCCGCGCATGTCTCCGCTCCGGCCCGGGAACAAAGGCGGGCCCAGCGCGGACCGGCGCCCCGGGAGCGGCCCGCGGCGGGGAGGCGCGGCGCGGCGCGGCCTGTCGGGGGCTCCCGCCCGCGGCTGTCAGGGGCGCGGGGAAGCCGGCCCCGCCCGCAGCCCGATTAGCATAGGTCTGAAAACACGCCCACGAGCCCCGCGCCGGGCGGGGAGGGCGGGGGGTGGGATCCCCGTTTCTAGGAAACTGGACACCGGCGGGGATCCTGGCGCGCGGGCTGGCAGCTCTGGCGAAGTTTTTCTTGCTTTGTTTCTTTTCCTTTTCCTTTTCTCCCCCAGCCCCGCCCCCCCAAACGGGAGGCTTATCCCGTAGCCAGGAACGTTTCCTGCCTGGCAGCCAGAAGCGAGAGAAAGAAACCCTGCCTTTGAGCCCGGCCGGGAAGGAGAGGGGCAGGTCTGGGGAAGAAAGGAAGACAATGTGACACTCTCTCACTTAAGCATCACATCAAAAATTGAAGAACCGGATTACGTTGCTGTTTACTTAGTCAAATTACAATAAACTTGATTTCCTTTCAGGCAGGTAATTCCCTCTTACAGCAAGCGGATCGCTTCCCTCCCCGCCTCGGTGCCACAACCAGACTCTGACCTCACTCCCACATCCCTTTCCTCCTCCCAGTTCTGATCAGATGAACAGATATTGCGCTCAGCTTGTCTGAGAATTAGACTTGATTATTATGGGCTGAATGCATGTTACTTCCAGAAGTCTTTATTGGGGTGTGTGGCGGGGGTTAGATAAAAGGGGGCGTGGCCAGAAATTTGGACTCTGAAGTCGTCTTTACCTGTATAGAACTAATTGCACAAATGGAAAGACCACATTCTTTTAACCGATTAAAAAGGAAAGCAGAAGTGTGCTAGGAAGAGGCCCGCACTGACTTCTCACGCCCTGTTGAGGCGGTTCACCTGCTGCCTCTTACACTCCCCTGGGAGGTAGGTGCAGTGGAAAGAGGAGTTAGTTCACCCCCTACTGCTACTTAACATCCCGGAATCTGTTTCCGCATCTGTGAAACGGGGAAATTAGTCTTCTCTTGGGGTTAAAAGCACCAAGCACGTGCAAAATCTCAAGAAACGTTGGTTCTCCCTGCTGCTTCCTTCACATTCGTCAAGAAGGGGGACATTTGCTTTCGCTGCACTTTCAGAGGTTGGGAAAGCAAAAACATTGTCGTCGACAATGCTTTTTAGAAAAATTTTTGTTGATTAAAGGGGTGGGTTAATAATGACTAACATTTAATATTCATTATGTGTTGGATGCTGTACATTAGCTCTTTAAACAACTCTATGAGGTAGGCAGTATTATTATCCCAATTTTATGAATGCACTTATCAAACATCAGTGTATGGAATTCAAACATATTATTTATTCATACAAAGAATGCTTCATTCTTCAAAAATTTCAGATACAAAGAGGCATCTGTTTACCTACTGTGTTTAATGCCAAATACGTTAAAACTAAGATAACCCTTTCTTAAAATGTGCAATAAAGAAATAGTATAAGTATTGATACATGTCAACGATGCCTCATCTAAAACCTTGGGACCAGATATATTTCAGAATTTAAGAGTATTTTTTAGTTTTAAAAGGTAGTTTGGAGCATGCACCTTAATATAGAACACTCCCCTTCCAGTACAATTTGGGACAGCACCCTGTAATCAAACATATTTATTCAGCAAAAAGAATTGGCCCTAAGGGGGATAAATAAAGTCTATTAATAGCCACACATTTATTCAGGTCAGCTTTGTCATCTAATAAGTTTCGGCATCAAGCTGTTTAAAAATGTGTAATTTTTACAGCTTTTTGAATTTTGGAGGTACCATAAGGATTATAGTAGTGGAACTTTTTCTGGGCATGGAATTTCTCCTTGGCATTTCTCTTTTTCTGAACTACAGACTCACAGTTTTAAATACCTGCAGGATATTTCCTTGAAAATATTTTGGCCTCATGATGCCCAACATGGCAGAGTGCTCCCTCCCTTGTGCCGCCTCAATAGCTCTCCTTTCCCTTGTGTTCACATTTTGGACCCTGAGTCATGCTGACTCCTCCCTCCAGTTGATGATCAAGTCTGTCATTTCTTTCTCACAGCGTCTGCCCACCATTCCTTCCATGCCCGCGGCTGCTGGCTCTGTTCCCATGTCGCCACCTCGTGCCTGGGCGATGGCACTCCTCCCTTGACTTAGATTCCTGTCAATCACCTTCCTCTTGAAACCTCCTCCTCTTCAAAGTGCTGGGAGAGTGATTTTCTTAAAACATGGGACCCCGCCTTGTCAAAGCCCTCAGTTGTAACCCACCTCCTACAAAATATTGTGCAAACTCCTTAGAATAGCTTCTCATTCATCTATTTTGATCACCTAATACTTCCTCACTCCCAAAACCCTGTGTCCCCCTCACACCAGCCTGTCCTGCACTCTGACTTTGCCTTTGCTCCGAACTGTCCTTTTCCTGTCTGGAAATCCTTAGAAACTCTCTACGGACTCCCCTGAAGACGTCTCAGCTATTCCTAATCCAAAGTAACACCATCTTCTGCCCTCCTATGGAAATTACTGTTACCTGTGTTGTAGGAATAATCTCCTTCTGCCACGTAGTTAAAGCAGTCAGCCAAAACTGCGCACGGTGTTCACCCTCCACTCCTGTGCCCACGCCACGTACAGCTACTAGATCACAGGGGCTTCTACTGAGCCCAGATGCGGCCACAAAATCCTTCTCAAAGCAGCAACAAGATAACTTTCAGAGGCAACTATCTCCTAACCCTGGATTGTATTACTATTTTCCAACAAATTGCTGTCTTTTCCTAAATTTTAAGCTACTGTAAAGGCTAGTGTCATGCTTTTGTCTGTATATCCCAGAACCCATAGTGTTTTGCAGAGTAGGCAATCAGTAAGGAATATTTGTTGGATGAAGGAACAAATGAATCAATGAGTGCGCTGGCACTTGTTAGTGCCATAGTTCCAACCTTTCAGGGTAGCCAAGGAATTATGATAAATGTTTCATAAGTCTATATGACACTGCAAACTACAAAAAAATGTTTCACTTGTATGTATTAATATTTTTCAAATGTATTATTTCTGTTGACTTGAACAAAATACAGCTCTTTAAGCATTCTTGAGTTTTCAGGTGTCAGAAAGCTGGTAGAGTGCATATATTGGATATTATAGAATACAATGTACAGGATATTTTCCTGTTGCCCTCCAGATCCACTTGTCACCCTCTCTACCCGCTTGGTGCCCAGTGGCTCAGCTTCTGATCTGCATCTGTGAGCTCCCTAGCCTCTGGCTTCAGGTAGGATGTGACCAAAGAGAGGTGCCAGCAGGAGAGGGGAGCAATGGGCTAGGTTGGGTATTGGGTATTATTTTCTGGGCTTCTGCTCTGCTATTTGCTGCTGGCTGGTTCCTTCTACCTAAAGCCATAGCTCCTGACTGCAGCTCTCTCCCGTGCTGTACTCTCTGGATTCCAGAAACTCCACCTCTGCCTGGCCCCTCGGACTAGGGATGGAAACAGCTCCTGTTTACCTAGTAGTCCCTCCTTCAGCCCTCCTGCACCGTCCCTGTTGGCCCCTCATCCTACCCACCCCTTTATAGACAGTTGCTTTACTAAACTCTCCTCAGTCACCTGCGCTGAGTGCCCCATCCCTTCCTGCCAAGGCCCTGACTGATACGTATCCCCACTCAGATCTGGGGCTGTATTCTGTAAACAACCATGTTAGTATGCCTGCAGTGAACAGTGAACTGTGCAAATATGCACACTGCGAGAGAAAAATACAAACGAGAAATAGCTTCATGTCAGTTCAGGTGTTTTGTCACCAAATAAGTTCAGGTCTGAACAAGTTTTGCAGTCAAATGAGTTATAAAAAAGCCTTGAGATTTGAGAGCTTTTTGGATTTTGGAAGTATAGATATGGGATTGTGGACCTGGTAGAGTCTGCTAACTTTTTCAGCGTGCTGGGAACCACGGGGCAGAGGATGTCAGCACAAGACTGTGACAGCTGGCTGGGCAGCAGAGTAACCGGGGACCCTGGGAAAGTCTACATTTGGGAACTGGGTTGATAAATTGCCCCTATGGTGGACAGTGGACATTCAGGGCACAGAAATAGGATTTTCAGTTTATTTAGACTAGGGGCAATGGTAGAGAGAAAATTCTAGTTCCCCACTCTGGACTGTTCTGATGTCACTGCAGCACCGAGCACTGGACTTACCTGGGAAAGCCTCACAGACTCTGGCCCCTGACTGTAAGTGACCCAGCATTATTATGAAGTATGGGCACAGTTCAACATATTCAACCCACCAGGAAAGGCAAGAAAACAGAGCATTTATGCAAAACCTTAACATGGACAAAAGAAAAGTGCCTCTTGTGGCCTTGGCTGCTTATCTGGCAAAACTGCTGCCAGGATCATCGTTTAATACCAGAACAGGGCAACAGCTGCAGCATGAGTCTCTGCAGCCGCTGACTGCCCTTCTCTTAGCAAGAGGGTTTATGTCACCTGGTCCCTGGCCCGTCTTGCAGGAAATGAAGGCACAGTTCTTACCTACCTAGGGGAATATGTTAATTCTGTCAAAACTCCAGCTTACATACATTTACCACTTCCTCAAAATCCTCTAAAAAGATTGGGTAAAATTAGAGGAGATTAATGCAAAATTGCATCTTAAAGAGGAAATACTTTAATGAGACAAGTACTTTAAAAGGTAATGTATAAATCCTTCATCATTGGGTCAGCTGATAAATTTTGATTTGCTACCCTGAAATATTTTTCAAAACTTATTGGCACTAATTAAATTATACAAATTTATTTTCTGAGTGCTCTCATGATGACACAGAATTTTGAGACTATTCTGATTTTCCTATTGTTTTCTTAGCATCTATTTTTAAAGAGATATCAGGACCTATTTTTCTTGAGTAATTGTTCTGTGCTCTCTGATCAATTTGGTAATCGGGTTAAGCAGACTATGTCACCATGAGACCCTGTCAGGCAGGTCAAGACTCATGTTATTTATGTGATGGACATAACTGAGTCACTTGAGTGACTTAACTGAGTGACTTCTACAAATAAATTGAATCATTATTGATCAGAAATGAATCACTACTAATCGACCCAGGAAGAGTGAGGAAATAGACCAG